CGCACGGCCACAAAAACACAGAAGCCAAGTGCTCCTGCTGCTGCTGCTGCTGCTGCTGCTAGCAGCAAGGCTGCTCCTCCTGCTCTACTTGGCTGCTACTAAGTTGTTTATCTATTTATTTATAGTTTCAATTTTTATTTATTTATTTATTTATTTATTTATTTATTTATTTATTTATTTATTTACTTTTCATTTAATAAATCTAATCCTCCGCCTTGCTGCAGCAGCAGCAGCAGCAGCAGCAGCAGCAAACAGCCACTTCCAAGCAGCGACAAGCCCATCAATCCTTTGCCATTTTTAACAACTTAATTAATCAAATTAAATTAAATTAATTTAATTAAATTAATATAATTAAATTAATTAAATTAAATTAAATTAATTAAATTAAATTAATTAAATTGAATTAATTAAAATACCTTTAAATGAAAACGCTGCAGCCGATGTTGTCTTTTCCGTTTTTCCTCTGCTGCGCTGACGCCCGTCAAAGTCTCTATCCTAAATAAATAAATAAATAAATAAATAAACAAATAAATAAAATAAAGAAAAATAAATAAATAAAATAAATAAATAAATACAATAAAGATAAATAAATAAATAGACAAACAAATAAATAAATGAATGAAGATAAATAAATAAATTAATTTTAAAAAGCAGAAAAAATGGATTTAAAATTATTAATTTGTGGAGGGAGACAAACTGCTGAAAGTGTCAGGGAAATAAATAAATAAATAAATAAATAAATAAATAAATAATAAAATAAATAAATAAATAAAAATAAATAAATAATAAATAAATAATAAATAATTAATAAATAATTAATGATCAACTAGCAGCAAAAACCTGTTCTCACCCTCTTCCGGCGTTGCGGTGGGCCTTTGCTGCTGCTGCTGCTGCTGCTGCTGCTGCTGCTGCTGTTGCTTTGAAATTAAAATTGCTGCTTCTTCCTTCTCTCGATTCCGCGTCCGAAGGAGACAAGGAGACTGCATTTGCTGCGCTGCTGCTGCTGCTGCTGCTGCTGCTGCTGCTGCTTCGGTTTTGTCTCCTTTCGCTCTTCAGGCTCTCCTCACGAGCAGCAGCAGCAGCAGCAGCAGCAGCAGACGCCGCTTCATGTTCAGCAGCAGCAGCTCGCCGGTGGGCCATTGCTGCAGCAAAAAGTTAATAAATAAATTAAATGAATTAATCAACAGCAGCAGCAAAGACACGCAGCCTGCTCACCCACGCATTCCCAAATAAACCGCAGCAGCAGCAGCAGCAGCAGCAACAGCAGCAGCAGCAGCAGCAACAGTCTTCTGCGCGTGTACCTGAGTGTACCGCCCTCCCATGGAAGAGCGCAGCCTGCTGCTGAGGCGCTGCGTCATCTGCTGCAGCGAAGGGACTCTTTGCTGCCGCCAGTTTGCTTCCTTCAAAAGTCCCCTTCGAAACTCTTCACTGACACGGCTGGCAAATCCAAAAACTGTCTCCGCAGTCTCCGCAACTCCCAGGCTGCTCTGCAGCACACAAACACGCACCTGCTGCTGCTGCTGCTGCTGCTGCTGCTGCTGCTGCTTACGGAGTAGTGCGCATAAATCCGATTGATCCAGCCTGCGAATTCTGCGAAGTCCCGCTGCTGCTGCTGCTGCTGCTGCTGATGCGGGGTCCGCTGCTGCTGCTGCGGCCGTTGCTGCTGCTGCTGCTGCTGCTGTTGCTGCTGCTGCTGCTGCTTTTGGGGAGCAGCAGCAGCAACAGCAGCAGGAGTTCCCAAAACGTCGAAGCGGCGCTTCCTCAGCGGCCGCGGGACTGACTGTTCCCCAGAAGCAGCAGCAGCAGGAGCAGCAGGAGCAGCAGGAGCGGAAGCTGCAGCAGGAGCCGGAGAATTATCTGCTGCTGCTGCTGCTGCTGCTGCTGCACTTCGGGTTTCTGGGGCGTGCGAGGAATCAGCAGCAGCAGGAGCTGGAAGTGTTCGGGACTTAATGACTATGCTGAGCCGCTGCTGCCGCTTTGGTGCTGCTGCTGCTGCTGCTGCTGCTGCTGCTGCTTCTGAAGCAACAGCTGCTGCGGAGTTCGACGCTGCTGCAACAGCTGCGCCGTCGGCGTTGTTTTGCTGCTGCTGCTGGTGCCACGGGGGCGAGGCTGCGGAGGCTGCATTTTGCTGCTGCTGCTGCTGCTGCTGCTGCTGCTGCTGCTGCTGCCTGTGCCAGGGGTGCTGCAGGTGGCTGGCAGCAGCGGCAGCAGCAGCAGCTGCTGCTGCGCGCTGCTGCTGCTGCTGCTGCGCCTGGTTGAGCTGCTGCTGGTACGACTGCCGCAGGGAATCGAAGAAGCCGTTGTTCTGCAGCTGCTGCACTGCAGCAGCAGCAACAGCCATGGCTTGCTGCGTGCTGCAGCAGCCAGCAGCAGCAAAAGCTGTGTGGAAGTAGTGGGCTGTGTACTGCTGCCGGGCGAAGTTCACGTAGGCTTCAGCAGACATGGGGGCCCCTGCTGCTGCTGCTGCTGCTGCTGCTGCTGCTGCTGCTGCAGTCGCGCCGGGAGAGCCCCCGGAGAAGGCAAACGGCAGCCCCGGCACTGCTGCAGGGGCTGCTGCTGCTGCTGCTGCTCCTGCTGCTGCTGCTGCTGCTGGCCCCCCGCCTCCCCAAGGCTGCAGCGGGGCCCCCAGGACTCCCATGGGGAGGCTGCAGGCGCCGGAGAGTTGCTGCTGCTGCTGCAGCTGCTGCAGCTGCTGCAGCTGCTGCAGCTGCTGCTGCTGCAGCGCATAGTGCTGCTGCTGCGGCTGCATCTTGACTGCGCAGCAGCAAGCCAAAACCTGCAGCAAACTGCTGCTGCTACTACTGCTGCTGCTGCTGCGGCTGCTGGATCTGCAGCAGCAGCAGCAGCAAGCCAGCGCTAGAGCCCAAACGACTTCTTAAAATAAATTGCAGCAGTCAATAAGTTGTCTTTAAAAATGTGGCAGCAGCAGCAGTGCAGCCAGCAGCAGCAGCAGCAGCAGCTGCTGCGCCACAGGCACAGGACCCTGCTGGTAGGCCCTGCTGCGGCTGCTGCTGCTGCTGCTGCTGCTGTTGCTGCTGCAGCTGTGTTGCCTTGTATCTGTTCTCCAGGCAATTCGCTCGAAGATCAGAAGCAGCTGAGCTCGAACAGCAGCAGCAGCAGCAGCAGCTGGCTGGGGGGGCCCCGCAGCCGCAGCCGCCGCCGCCTCAGCAGCAGCAGCAGCAGCAGCAGCAGCAGCAGCAGCGGGAGCTTGAGACGCTGCAGCTGCAGCAGGCGCTTCAAATTGATCTTTTATTTCATTTTATTTTATTTTTAAATTAAAGTAAATTAATTGAATTTAATTTATTTAATTTAATGGCTTCTAAGGCCCTGCAGCGCTGCTGCTTTCCCCCGCTCTGCTGCTGCTGCTGCTGCAGGGGCAAAAGCGCGAAAAGTCGATTTTTGTGTTTTTACTTTTTTGAAAAGCTTTTTGGCCTCCAATTAATAAAAATTTAAATTAAATTTAAATTCAAATTTAAATTTGAATTCAAATAAATATAAAAGTGGAAGAAGCAGAAAAAGGAAGGAAGAAAAGAGTTTGAAGGAAGTGCATGTACACTTGAACGCGCGAAGTTGAATTTGCAAAAATGACGGAAAATGAAACCGGGAATTTAAGTGCAAAAACGCAAAAACAAACAATTAAAATGTTTTAAATAAATAAATAATAAATAAATGAAATAATAAGCGAAAAAAATGGCGAAAAATGAGGAAGAACAACTCATTAATTACTTGAATTCCAAAGCAATCTTTTGTTCATATTGCTCAGTGCGCAGAAGCAGAAAAAGTGCAAATGTTGACGAAAAGTGGCCAAAAAAACGCCAAACAAACGCAAAAACGACAAGCTAACATTAAAAAATAATAAGTGAATGAATGAAAGTCGAAAAAGAATTAAAAATGAAGAAATAAAAACGAAAAACGCAACTCGGCGCACTGCCCGCGAACTGTCTAGACACCTCAGCGTTCATCTTTCCACCTCCGCAGACACTTCGCGAGAAAACGCCAAAATGGAATAAATAAACGACAAATAACAATAAATGAAGATTAATAATCATAAACAATGATAAATAATCATAAATAATCATAAATAATAACAAATAACGACAAAAAATGCTTTAAAAACGACTTGTTTCCACAAATTCGCGAAAAATTTCTGCTGCCGGTGAGCCCTTCGCAGCAAAACTTGAAAAATTCAAAAAGGCATTTTTGCATAAATAGAAATTAAAAATAAAAATATAAAATTAATTTTAAGATAATAATAAATGAAAAACAAAACAGTAAACTGCTTTTTATATTTTGCTTATATACTCCAAAGCTGTCTATTTATTGAAGTTCGAGCCAGTCTGTTTCCATTTCTTTGCTGCTGCTGCTGCTGCTGCTGCTGCTGTTGCTGCTCAAATAACAAAAGTTGCTTCTTAGGGATTTCCTGGGCTTTTTATTTGTAAGAAGAAATATAAATTGCAGCTGCAACAAGTGCTGCTCTGCTGCTGCCTTCAGTTCGGCAGCAGCAGCAGCAGCAGCAGCAGCAGCAGCTGTAGGAGTAGCAGCAACGGCAGAAGCAGCAGCTATGGAAGCAGAAGCAACAGGGAAAGCAGCAGCAGCAGCAACAGCTATAAAAGCAGAAGCAACAGCAGCAACAACTAACGCAGCCATGGCTGCAGCAGCAACAGAAGCAGGAGCAGCAACAGCAGCAGCAACAAAAGCTAAAACAGTAGCAGCAAAGAGCCGCGCCAGAAACAGCAGCAGCAACAGCAGCAGCAGCAGCAGCAGCAGCAGCGCAAGTTGTATATCTGCAAATTCAGCTCTACTTCTCCTGACAGCAAACAAGAAGTAAATAAATAAATAAACAAATAATAAATAAATAAATAAATAAATAATAAATAAATAAATAAATAAATAAATAATAAATTAAACTCTTAAGGAATAAAAGAGGAAGTCCTGTGGGGCCAGTGAGCCTCGAGGCAGCGCCGCAGGAGGGCGAGCTCAAAACTGTCTCCTGTTGCTGC